CCATTTACTCACACCTCCCACATGCCTTTTTCTTTTTCTTTTTTTTTTTTTTTAAAGTAGGAAAGCTATTCTGTTGCAAATTGTTATATTAGGAAACTTTCTGATTTTCTCACTTAAAGAGAAAAAAACACCAAGAATAAACCACCAAAAAACCATCTGCCTCCAAGTCAGAACATTAGGTTATGAACTGTTAAGTATAATTACAAGTCAGTCATAATACCTACAGTTTGAGAGTAGTAGGATTTAATTTGTAACTGCTGAAGTTTGAAAAAAACAATCTGGATTCTAAGTCTGTCCTGTTACTGACTGCCACACCACAGATAAATATGAGCTAAAGATAAATGCTGGAAGCATTAATAATTAGATCCAAATAATATTTGCCATTCTGGGATCTTGGAAAATGGGTATGTTAATCTATACCTGGCGGTAGAGATAAACATAATTTCAAGTTCTATACCTTTTCCACTCTTTTCTAATTCCCAAAATAGCGGACATATTACACGCGAAACTTCTACGTTGCATGAAGCGGCACAAAAAGCTTCTTTAAAAGACACTCAAATTTCCAAAGCTAAGTACAAAGATGAAAACCAGAATTGGTAAGTAAGACTTCAAGATTCAGGGTGGCTTATAAAATCCGACACAGGGACTGACCTCTGTAAACAGCTTTGCTTAAGAGTGCTGGCAGGACACAAGACTGAACATATATCGTTGCCATATTATTTATTCCCTTCTCTTTATGCAGTTCCTCAACTCATTTAGGGCCTATCCTTAAGAGCAGATAATGAAACTCTCTTCATACTTTCCCCAAAGCACAACATCAGCTCCTTCCTAGGTTGATCCATCCTGTGCCATTAATAAGGGAAGAGGTATCTGTGATGAGACAGATAATGAACGATGAGTCAGTGCTCACACGAAATGTCAACTTAAGTCAACTTAATTATATCCACATAGACAGAGCTATTGCACAGACTGCTGCTCTGCTTTCATTTGACTCAGCAATCGTAACTTCCTGTCATCCTTCATTGTGACCAAAAATAGAAAGGGATAAGGCAAACAAAGGAAAATCCACTAATAGCCAACAGGAAGATTATTTTAGTTTGAATCCAAACTCACCTTTGAAATGTCTTCTAGCAAAGACACCAGTTCCCTCTTTTCCCAACAAGCACATGGCTTCCTGCTCTGTACCTTGTTCCCATTCTGGTTCTGCCTGACTATACCCACATCAGATGGCTGATCAGTGGGTCGGAGCATGAATTCAGGCACTGTCTCACATACCATTTAATTATTAGCACCTTCTGGTTGGGTTTGGGCCCCTGTTGCACCAGACAATGTCCAGGCATGCTTTAGGACACCATGTAGGCCAAGGACTGTTCCCAGTATGCAGCATGGGAAAGACTGTTCTTTTGCAGGGAAGGAGTTTAGTGGAGCTGAAGAAAAGGGGAATGGATCAGTTAGAAATCATCCTAAGGAAGCTGGGATGTATCTGGGTGTAGAAGCAAAGCACTATCAATTCTAATACTTAAGAACTCCCAACCCTTCACTGCTGTGCTACATGGCTCAGCTCCTGCATCAGTACTCCCCGACTCCTGACCCCTTCATCCATCTCATTAACAACCTTCTTCCAATCTGTCTTCCCAAGTACGGTTTCATTGTGATTCACCCCTTGCACTGCAAAGACCAATAGCTTTTTCCTCCCCAGCGTGAAGCAGAAGTTGGGTGGTGGTACAGAAACTCTTTCAGAAAGCTATGAATGTTCTGTGTGTGTGCAGGTTCTAAAGCAAATAATGAAAAAATAAAAACACTGAAGTACACAGCAGTGTGTAGCTGTAGCTAGGAAACAGTCAAGCTCCCCAGTGATCCAGTGAAAGACTGGCTCCTTTTTCCTTCATTGCAACCTTGGGCAGGGCTGTGCACAAGCACTGCGAAAAGGGCGTGTGGGCAACAGCATGTGTGTGGAGGTCAGACAAAATCCTCAGCTGTATTAACTGAAGAGCAGATTCACCCCCACGGAGATGAAATGATTTAATAGTAAACAGAGCACACATCCATGATGCAAAGACCATGAATTTAGCCACTGTAAATGTCAACTCTTTCCAATGGTATGATTATCTCTAAATCTCTTAAAATATTGACAGAATCAGAAAATGCAACTTAATTCCTGAAGTACTAGTCAGTTTGGCTGAAACTTCAGCAAGGTATCAAATACAAGGAATTTCAGCAATTATGAGAGACAAAAACTCCAAGAATTGCAATGATATCTCAGTTATGAAATCACAGGGCTACCAGGTCCAGCTTTAATAAAAATAGGCTGAGCATGTTATACCCCAAAAAGGGAAGTTTTCAAACACATACACACACAAGCTTACCAAAATTCACGAGTTTGCCAAGAAAGGTGGCATTTACTTATTTAGAATTTTCCTTTGAAATCAAACCAGTTTGCTTTCTTCAGAAAGAATAACTCTAACAACTAATTCATTACACTGAGGGACTGAAATCTAACATGTGAAGAGATGATGCTGTTTCCCATTACGTCATATTTAGTCCATAAATCCTTTTATGTGGATAAAGTAGTGCCTACTTTACAAAGTGATACTTGGAAACTTTTATGAACAGGTGATGAGAATAATCGAGTACTGACCAACTAGACCAACATGTACAATGAGCATTGGATGTATTACAAACTTCTAGAGAGGAAAACTTACTTTATCTAGCTGCATTGATGTAGAATATAAAGAGAAAAAAATCTGCTACAGAATACAGTCATAGCTATTTTTGTAAAGAACATCTTAAAGAAAATTTAAGATTTCAAAGCATAGTTCTAAGATTAAATAGAGAGAAAAACTAATCCTATTTATACAAATAAAGAACAAACATGCTTCCCCAAAAGCTGATCAAGCAATCACTGCCCAGGAAATGACCAGAAACATCAAACAGAAATATGCTTTATACTACTCACAATAAATAACACTTAAGGATATGTCAGTGTGTCAGTTATTAAAAACTAAGTCACTTTCATGGGAGAAAGTTTTCTAAAACAGGAGCAAGTAAGAGCGTACAAAATATTAATGCAGAAAATGTCAAGTAATGCCTAATACATGATAAATGCTTAAAAACAAAAGAGAGGACCCTGATGTTCGTTGTGTTAAATAACTTCTGATTTTAAACTTTAAGATACAAATACAAAACAGCATTTGAAACTGGAACTTATATTTAAAGTGGAAAACTAAACAAGAGTATAAGTTGACTAGCCTCAAACAATTCAGTCATTAAACAAACTGACATCAGTTATTAAAGTTGGTGTTGTGGTTATTTATTTTCATCTCCTCATTCAACTTTAGGAAAATTACTCTCCTCATTACTAATGCCAATGTAAAATTCAACTCTGTATGATTATGAAAATAATTTTGTGAGGTGTTGAACTTAAGGCAGCTATTTGCAGGAATATCAGGAACAAAATATTGTTCCTGATGCCTATCAGTATTATCTGTAAAGTAGTATCAGGAAATCTGCTGGAGTGCTGCATTGACTGACTAATGCAGTACAAAATTTCAGACATTTTGAAAGACTTCATAGATTTTAAGCATTACTGAGAAGATATAAGTGCTACATAATTTTTTTAAGTATGTAAATTAACAAGAGGAGCTGAAACTGTAGGCAATACCATTTAGAAGTTTCTAGTACAAAGTATAGGAAGATTGAGGTAAAACTAAAGATTTTAGTGTTATTAATATAAATCACTCTACAGCACTTTACAATTTTCCTCCAAGTGAAGCTCAGCTCTTCCTTTAAAATGGAGTTTAATATTTTCTATGGTGTTTTGTTCTTACAGTTTTAAACATCTTAATAATGCCAAGCTAATAAGCCAGGAATTTAATATTACAAAAATTCCTTCAGAAAAAACTATCTTCTGCACAAGGTAAAGTTAGCATGTCATTCAGACATTTCACACTACTCAGAAGCACAGTTTAATATCCTGTATTTACATTACTAATGTAAACATAAATGCACACTAAATTGCTGCTTATATAAACTATATAATATCTACTCTTATTAACTCCTTCTTAAAATGATAATTAATTCTCAAGCATGTAAAAGAAGCTAATTAATCCTGACTTTTGCATAACATATTAGAAAGAGTACTTTGTTTTCAGAAAGTGTTTCTAACATTACACAAAGTGTTTCTAACATTATGCACGTCAACTACAAGAGCTTTTAAGTGCTCAGTGTACCGTGCCTACAGTGCTTTTCTACTTTACTACACCGATCAGCAGAGGTACTCCATTAGCTCTCTGTACCCAGCAATTACAATAAATACTCTGGCCCACAAAAGGGGAAATAAAACCCCCAAAACAACCAAAACCAGGACTTCTCAATTTAATTGAAGTTTTAAAGAGGCTCCTGCCTGTTCAGGGCCCTTCTAGAAAAAAGAAAATTAATAATGAACTTTGATATCAGCTGCATATTTACCAGTTAACAGGATAATTTGTACATGCAGTTGTGATGACCTTGTGCCTCATAAATCTAAAGCAGCTCAGTTTGTGCCAACAGTTCAGCCTAACTCATGCTATTCAACTTCAGTAGAATACACAAAGGAACTTAAATGTTATATATGGCGTGTAGCTTTCTCTAAACACAAGTCTAATTTCTGGAAGAATTCTCAAAGCAAAAATGTAAAGATACATAACTAAAAAAATTAATGCCTGAAGTGTCCTGATTCTTCTGTTCAAAAGAGCTAAAAGTTTGTTGTTTACTTTACAATGGTAAATACTCTTCCACTTTTTGCTTTCTTCAGTACAGCTTGTTGCCTCCTGTCAACTTAAATCTCTGAGACTGCAAAACTGCACGTAAGCAGAGTGGTAAGTTTATTATGTTTCTGCTTCCTGCCTTGTTTTATTCATCAGTGATCTAAATTCTGTAGCTTTGTGTCATGCTTGCAGTATTAGAACCCAGTCCTCAGTTGGCCCCTAGAGCATTAAATGTTAATCAGCAACACTACTTACCACATTGAAATCTAAGTTTTTTTCAACCCACTCCTTGGCTTCCTTGAATTCCTCTTTCATTTCCATGATGTATAGTGTATCAAGGGCATCCACTATTGTTGCTCCTTGAATGTTACCTGAAATACATGAAGAGCCAGTGATTTACTTTCCAACAGAAGGCTTTTCAATTATATCTAATTAATTTAAATTAATTCTAATTTTAAAATCCAATTTCAATTAATCCAATTAAAAATTGGGCATATAAGCATTCAAGTGGGCAACTAATAATTCACAGCCTTACCTTTGATTCCCATGCCACCATACAACATTGCAATATTTAAGTATTTCCTCCACTAATGAAGTTTTGAAGAGCAGTTCTAGTGTACTGCATTTTCAGCCATGATTTTGCATTTTTAAATACTGATGGAACAGTTCACTGAAAAATTTAATTCATATCTCAGTAGATTGAGAATTTGCTATTTCTTCCAGTTTGGAGTGAAGAAGTTCAGTTGTTTTTTTGCTTTTATACTCAATAATATACATAAAGCTTTAAGAAGCTTATAAGTACTGATCACATTTCAGTTAAGAAAGCCCTTTAAGATGTACCCTCTCTGAAAAACAATTTTTCTGATACTGTGCATCACCATGTAACCTGCACAAGATAGCTGGGGAGCAAAGGCAAACTTGCACACATGGGAATTTCTCAGCTCAGGAGACCCATCTTCAAAGGAAGTTCTGGTCGTCTGCAAAAGTGCTAACCTTCTACTTCTGTTATGGAGATGGATAAAAGTTAGCTTTCACCTAACTTCACAAGATGAAATGTTATCAGTATGTTCACTTTGGCGTGGATTAAATGTATATGATACTGTACTGAAAAGCTAATGTGGAGGGTGGGGCAGAAAATAAAGCCACTCAAATGACATTTTCATGCTTCCTTCAAATTTACAGTGATGATTTTTGTCTAGGAGGAGTTTCAGTTCCTCTTTACTGAATAGTGTAGAAAATTCCATTTTGGTCACTTTACTCAATTTTATATTTATGAACTTGGTTCCAGCAACCTTGATTATGAATGAAACTACTGTTGAGATACACTTTAGAGAAGACCCTAGATACAGAAGTAAACGTTTAGGATTGCAAAATAATTTAGGTTGCAAGGAACAGAGGAAGTCATTAGGTCCAATGCCTCTCTCCCCCAGCAGGGCTAATGACTCAGGTGGATAGCTGACTACTTTTTCAGGAATTTATTGCACTGGGTGAATAAAAAGACAGTAGCTACAACTAACTTTATAGAACTTGATTATCACGTAGCCTATAAAATACCTGATGAAAAAGTAAACTTAGTTTTGTAGGCTTATCAAGTATCAGAATTTAACTCTTCATTTTTAAGTAGGAAATCCACTATTTTCAATCAACTGTTATGTTTACCACCATCAAGATTTTCTGCTTCATCATGAAATGGAGAAGGATTGCAGACCTCCATATAGCAGGAATTGACATCACTTTCTTAATTTAAGCTTCTAGGTAGAAAATATTTTTCCATTTGTATCATCGTAAAATAATACTTGAGATTATTATAACAGTTACCCAGTGCATTTAACAGAACCAGATGTTCTCTCTGTTTTAGAAGTTGCTAATTGCTTATACCATCCTTTTTGGAATGTCCCTTTCCTACTCTGAAGAAAGTAAGGTATACGTTTTCCCCCAGATATTCCACTAATAAAACTGCAGTATACTTTAGTAAGAAGAAGGACATCATATCTTCCCAGAGCTTATTTGGAGCTTGGCTACCCTTCCTCATATTAAAGGAAAAGCATACCCTTAAAAACTTGCCTAGGTAACTTGTATTTTTCCTGAGCTCATAAGAAGGTAAGAGCTATTGTGAAAAATCACTGGAGGACACGTGCTCAAGAACACTACTGCAAAGGTTCTGAAGATGCTTAGTAACTCCATACAACAAAAGCAGTTCCTGGTGAACTTTAGCAACTGAGCACTACTTACGGAAAATCATCTATAACCTGATTTACTTGAGTGGATTGTGATAGGCTCACCATGCAATGACATTCTTTGTGATAATCCTCTTGTAATACAGCTAACACCACCTCTAAACAGTTGAGCTTTCAATTTTAAGGATTAGTACTTGAGCTGCAACTCACTACTGAGTCAGAAGAAAAAGAGGATATTTCAACCTTATTGAGAAATCACCCTTGGAGTCACCCACTTCCCATGATTTTTTTTTTTTTTTTTTTCTCTGAATCTGGCCTATATGGACTGCTTAGAGCACAGACCTCTCCCTGTAGGCAGATAGAAGAAAATGGGAGAATCTCAAGTAGATCTTACTTTATTTGAAACAACTTTTGCTAGTATTCTGAAGGCTCCAGAAAACAGAATAAAGCAAGTAATGTGATAATTAAATAGTCAAGTTTGTCTTGAACAGTTTACTTCAGAATTCTTGAGAAAAGATAAGAGAACACAGAATGCATTTCTAAAGAGTCAGTTTAGAGGCCAGAATTATGACTTGTGAACAATTGCGGTTTATGCTGTTAGCCAACAAGATAATCCAAACTTCAGAGTGTTAAGGAAATTGTGTAGCTGAACAGCTCATTTATAACCAGTCAGACAAACAAGAGGAGGGTGAAAAAAAAAAAGAAGAAAAGAAAAAGGAATGCAAAGAAGTTAAATGATAATTTCTTATTACGGAATAAGACTAAATATTTCACAAGCCTATACATGCTATGCTTCTCAAAGCACACCACATAAATTATTAAATACAGTTATCATTCCTGTTAATTCCTACACAATGTTCCCAAGGAATTACACAGCAGTCATGGTCTACAAGAAGCAAAGATTATTGCTAGGCAATTACAATACACACTCTGATACAGAATATTTGGACAGGAGGACTGTTTTGTTCTACACCTAAGCTACTACTATAAATTTGATTAACAGTGAGCATTGGGTTACAAAAAGTGCCAGCAAAGTTGCAGTCACCATGGTAGAGTTTCACAGTTGCTCTAGGCAGAAGGAAGATCTCACAAGTGATACATGGAGCAAATTCATACACTTCAAGTAATTACAGATATATTTTTCAGATAATACAAAAAAATAGTACACTCAAGGTAGAGAAAATGGAATTGAATTTAATAAAACATAAGCCTGAAGTGAGTAATTTTGATGACAAAAGAGATAACCAGATGTACAAGCCTACCAAAGTGAAATTTCATTAGACCCTACCAAAACCTCCAGACTAAGTACTCAGATATGCTCCATTTTACTTACTTTGTTAAGCCTGCTTCTGTTTTTCTCTCTTTACTAACTTCATCATTTATTCCATGTAAGTGATTAATAAAGAACACATAAAATAGCCTACAAGCTAGTTAACTGAAGAGAAAGTAAGAGTAATCAGTCAACATGAAACTTCAACTGGACTATCTAGCAGCATCTGCAGAGCATCGTTTCCAGTTTAACACTTGAAATCTTTAGGAATGATCTGGAAGAAAATAAAAAGAACCTACTGCAAACAAGATTTGTGGATGATTAAATAAGATGACTGATTACGCAGCATTTCAGAATAGTGTGATATAAAGCACAGAGCAGTCTAGATCACCTCTAGGTAATGCACAGGAGTTCCATTTAAACAGCATGCTTTTTAATATCACAAATAAGAAAAGGAGATTGCATTAGAGAATGGTGTAGCGCCTCAGGGGCAGGCAGAAAAAGCAGAATAAAAAAGTGATCAGAGGATGAATAACTTTGTATGAGTTTCCAGGGTGTCACTGCAGGGAGAACTGTTATGGATGACAAGCTTATTAGCACAGCTCTGTGACTGAGTTTATGCAGCCATATGGTTTAAGAACTACAACTGGCTTATGGCCAAACTGGAAGGTGGGCCAAAAGAAGCTTTTATTTGTCTAGCCCAAGCTTTTAGACATGGCTTATATTTTGGCCAAATGAGTCTGAAATAGAATACAGCCAGGATGCCAAAATCAATGCATGCTGGCGCACTTAATAGTTTGTTTACAAGTTTCCTCCCATACCTTGTATACCAAGTTTGGGATTTGGTTCTCCAGAACATTCACATTCCTCACCATCAAATATATTTGTAGAGATATATATATATATATATATATGTATATATTATGTGTGTGTGTATATATATACATATACACACAATATATATGTGAAACAGATGAAGATTTGTGATCTGCAAGCATATTATACAGAACATTACACAGAAAAGTTTCAGACGTGTCCTAATGCACTGTCTGTAACAGGATGGAAGCCAGGCCTCTTACTCTTCTCAAATTCAACTGCTTTTCTTTTTCTGACTCTGTGTCATATTCTGAATTGAAGGAAACTGTGGCAAAGCATATGACAAAAATGGAAGATAAGGAAATATGAAGTGGCCTCAGGTCACGCTATACATCAGCTCCCTCACATGTAATAGTTCACCATTCAACAAGCAAGAACAAGAAATACTAGTCTATGATTCATGGTCATAGAAGATTAGTAGAATGTTGTTTTATTTTCCAGAAAACCTGTTACATTTTTGTGTTTCTGATATGAGGCATGAAAATTAATATAGGATATTTATATCTGTAACTTTTTTACTGTCATGGAAATTCAACACACACGAATAATAATGGATATCCTTTCAAATAAAGTTAAAATGTTCAAAAAGTCTCCTCTAGTATTGTCAGAAGAACTGTTCTTTAGGGATACTTTGTACTACTGTTGAAACGAACAAGAAAGTTTCATACATAGCTGTGTTTGAATTGCACTCAACCCCACCCTGATCTTAGGCTCTTCATTGTTTTCAGCCAGTGAGACAAACTTGTTTTGTCACCTTCCATTGTAAGTTGAAGAAGCTCAGTCAAAGCAGATGTATTCCATTAAATCTTCCTCCAATTTGTCATTTCAGACTCAAAATTCCAGCCAAGAATACATAAATACAAGCTGTCCCAATTTTTTTCTTAATCTGGCCATTAAGAATAGTTCAGATCATCTTAACATGGGGAGTAAGACCAGATACTTTGTAACATTAAACATTCAAATTTTAAAAAATCAATCAGGCATCCAATTTTTTTCAGTTGTGTATACATATACATTGTACATTAACAATACACTATTCTCAACATAT